CGTCAGGCTGAGGAGCCGGGCCCGGCTGCGCCATGGCCAGGGAGCCGGCCTGGGGGAAACGGGGATGGGCGGGGAAGCTGTGTCCGCGGCCCCCGCGGGCTCAGCTGGCGGAGGAGGCGTCGACTGAGCCGCCACCGCCGCCGCCCAGGGAGGAACCGTTAAGGCTGGAGCCGCCGGCGCCGCCACAGCCACGGGCAGAGACAGACCCGAGCGCTGACCTCCGCCTCCTCATCCTGACAGCGGGAAATAAGCAGTGCGCAGGCGCGGGGGGATGGGGCGGCACGTGACGTTGCCCCGAGGGGAGGGGAGGGGCGGGGCTCCGTGCGTTCGGAGTTGGGTGGTGGGAGCCGCTGGGCTGGAAACCTGGCGCTGCAGCCCGGGAAAGCTTGAAGCATGCTGGAGAAAAGCATGAAGGGAGAGACTTGAGCATTGAAGGGAGAGAAGGACCAAGGGCGGTCGCGGGGAAGACCGGTCTCTACGTGTTATTTGCACCTATATAGGGAGGTTGGGGGTGGGGGAGCTAGCAGGCCAGATTATGAGGGCAAATCCAGCCTTTTGTGTGTGTGTGTGTGTGTGTCTGTGTGACCTTGGGCTACTCACTTAACTTTTTTGAACCTCAGGATCTTCATCTGCATAACAGCTAAGGAAAGTTTGCCTAAGGTAAAGTTTGAGGCGCTGTTTAACTGAAATTGGAAGCCACGTATTCTAATGCTAGGCCAGTGTACTTTACATTAAACAAATATTCAGGATGTGATTCTTACGTGCCAGGCCTTAGGCAAGGTGCTGAGGATACATTCATAAGCAGGACAGATAAAGTCCCTGCACTGGTATGAAAGAGGGAGAGAAAGTGAATATAACAGACAAAATTGCCTTTATGTTGTCTCTTCCTGAACATCTATCCTTTCTAAGGCAGGGTCTGGGCATCTCTAGAATAAGCCTACTTCATTCAAGTGTGTATATCTAAGGGGTCCAGGAATTCTAAAGTTGAAACTGATCTTCTAGGTCCATGTTATTACGTGCCACCATTGAGTGGCATATGACTCATAGTGACCCTATGAACAACAGATCTGAGCCCAGTCCTATCTTGAGCCATTCTTACAATCTCTGACACACTTGAGCCTCTTGTTGCCTTCACTGTCAGTCCACCTGGTTGAGGGGTGTTCCTCTTCTTTGCCATCTCCCCATTTTTCCAAGCATAATGTCCTTTTCCAAGGAATAGCCTTTCCTAGCAACCATGCCCAAAGTATGCCAAATGAAGTTTCACCATTTTGCCTTCAACCAGCACTCTGGCCAGACCTTCTCCAAAACAAATCTTTTTGTTCTTTTGACAGTGCATGGGATAGTCAATACTCCAACACCACAAGTTCAAAGGCATCAATTCTTCATTTGTCATCTTTACTTATTGTTTGTCTCTTAGATACATAGCAAGTGACTGAAAAAACAATAGCCTGAATCAGATCACTAAAAGTGTACAGTTGGATAGATAGAAGAGTACCCTATATTAAAGTTAGCAGTTAGTTGATCCGGTGGTTTATTTTATGTGTCAAGTTGTCTAGGCTACAGTTTCCTGTGGTTTGGTCAAATACTAGACTAACAACTTTTCTTTAACATAATGTCACATAATCACTTTGCATAATAAATTCTGATGTAATCAATCAGTTGGAAAGGGGGTTTCCATAAAGTGTCCTCTACCTTCCAGGTATAATTAGCTATTTCAGTAGAATTTTAATAACAATAAAATGATCTGTCTCCACTTGCCACTTTTTAAATTTTTTATTTTCTTAATTTTAATGAACATTTACAGAGATTTGGGATTTTCATTCCATTTGCCACTTTTTCAGTTTATAGTCTTTCAACCTATTGCCTGAACCTGCAATCTCTCACAATTGTGTGAGCTAACATCTTGAAATAAATTTATCAGTCTGTCTAAAGAAATGTAAATATGTATTACTGGTTCTAATATGAAACCTATACTTGAACCAAGAGGCAGTCGTCAGAATAGAGCAAGGAAACACTGCATGGTTCAAAATTGGGAAGGGCATACGCCAGGGATGTGTCCTGTCTCCATACCTTTTCAACCTGTATGCAGAACAGATCATCAGGGAGGCTGGGCTCTATGAGGAGAAATGCGGCATCAGGATTGGTGGAAGATCTGTCAGCAATCTGCGTTATACAGATGACACAATGCTGCTTGCTGAAACTGAGGAGAACATGAAGAGCTTGCTGCTGAGGGTCAGGGACTGCAGGCTTCAATATGGATTGAGGCTCAATGTCAAGAAGACAAAGATTCTCACCACTGGACCAATTGGCAACATCAGGATAGATGGTGAAGAGATTGAGATTGTTCACAGCTTTAGTCTGCTTAGCTCCACAATCAACACTCTTGGCACCAGCAGCCAGGAAATTAAAAGACGTATTGTGATGGGAAAGTCTGCTGTTAGGGACCTCTCTAAAGTACTGAAAAGCAGTGGTGTGTCTCTGGAAACTAAGGTGCATCTGGTACAGGCCATGGTCTTCACAATCACTTGTTAAGCGTCAGAGAGCTGGACAATGACCAGGGTAGATAGAACGAGAATTGATGCTTTTGAGCTTTGGTGTTGGAGAAGAGTGCTAAGGGTACCATGGACTGCTAAAAAAACAAACAGATTCATCTTGGAGAGGGTTAAACCGGGCTGCTCCTTAGAGGCAAGGATTCTGAGACTTCGTCTGACATACTTTGGTCATGTTGTTAGGAGAGACCGGTCCTTGGAGAAGGACATCATGCTTGAGAGGGTGGAGGACAGGCGCAGGAGGGGAAGGCCTTCTGGGAGGTGGATTGATTCGGTGACTGGGGCAATTGAGATGAGTGTGTCAGAGACAATGAGATTGGCACAGGACAGATCAGAATTTAGAGCTGTTGTACATAGGGTCGCTATGAGTCGCAAGCGACTGGATGGCACATAACAACAACAACAACATTAGTGGTTCTGTTTTCTCTAGAAAGGATCCTTGATGGTGCTGTTGTTAAAATATCCCACCACTAACCAAAAGGATAAAAGAAGAATCAATGCCTTTGAGTTGTGGCACTGGAGAAGACTGGCAGCTACCAACCTGCCAAAAGAACAAGTTGGTCTGTCCAGACAAAGTAAAACCAGGGTGTTCCTTGGAAGCAAGGATGGTGAAATTGGTCTCACATACTTTGACCATTTTGTCAGGAGGAACCAGTCCTCCGAGAAGGACACCACGCACAGACAGATAGAAAGCCTGTGCAAGAGAAGAAAACCCCAAAAAGATGGGTTGACACAATGCGTGTCACAGTGGGTTCAGAAGTGTCAGAGATGGTGAGGCTGCCTCAGGATAGGTCAAGGTTCATAGCTGTTGTTCATAGGATCTCTCTGAGTCATAGTCAACTTGACAGTGTATAACAACGACATCTAACCAAAATGTCAGCTGTTTTAACAGATCAGCTACTCCAAGGGAATAAATTAAGGCAGTCTGCCTCTGTAAAGATTTAGTCCTGGAAACCATAAGGGCAGCTCTACTCCGTCCTGAAGTGTCACGAGAAGTCAAAATTGACTCCATGACACACTTTGATTGTGGTTTCTTTAGGAAACTCTAAGACAGTTGGTGTGATTTATAGTTTTAATAATTTAGATAAATGATATGTCACTTCCACTTGTCCTCAAAGTCTTGCTAACGTTGAGAGAGAACCTGTATTCAGCATTGAGGACTTTAGCAGTTAATCTCCCCAAATGGCTAGTGTGCCTGTAGACAGCCAGCAAAGCTTCCCTTTGCAAGAAGTAACTTTCGCGGCTAGCGCGGGCTGGGCGCGAAGGTGGTCACGTTGCGGCAGTCACGTACCCTCAGTTCCAGGCCTGCAGACGCCACGCTCCCTACTCTCCGCCATCATGCCGATGTTTGTGGTCAACACTAACGTGCCTCGCGCATCCGTGCCCGACGGGCTGCTCTCTGAGCTTACCCAGCAGCTGGCGCAGGCCACCGGCAAACCGTCCCAGTACATCGCAGTGCAAGTGATCCCAGACCAGCTTATGGCTTTCGGTGGCTCAAGCGACCCTTGTGCGCTCTGCAGCCTGCACAGCATCGGCAAGATCGGCGGCGCGCAAAACCGGACCTACACCAAGCTGCTGTGCGGTCTGCTTTCCCAGCGGCTGCACATCAGCCCCGACAGAGTCTACATCAACTACTATGACATGAATGCGGCCAACGTGGGATGGAACAACTCCACTTTCGCCTGAGGGCCACATTCACCTCCCTTGGTCTGTAGTGGCCCTGCCCTTCGTGGAGTTAAGCCCACCTTCCCGTCCCGCAGGGTCTACATCAATTACTATGACATGAATGCGGCCAACGTGGGCTGGAACAACTCCACTTTCACCTGAGGGCCACACTCGCCTGCCTTGGTCTGTAGTGGCCCTGCCTTTCAGGTCCTAATCCAGCCCACCTCCCTGTCAGGAGAAATAAACGGTTTAGAGACAAAAAAAAAAAAGAAGTAACTTTCCTGAGTGAGCAACCTTGTGCATCGCAGGGAGACCTTTGGCCAGAATTGGACAGCTCAATGTGTCCTCTGCTTTGTGATGACTAACACAAGGCAGGGGCCATAAAGATAGCAGATGTGGATGCACTCTATTCACTGGCCCCTTACAGTGAGAGAAACAGATTTATTGCCATTGATACTGAAGTTTAAAGTCAAGCCCTCAAGATCAAAGTCATTCTGAAATAGCCAAGCATCTGGTTTGGTATTTTGAGCTCCACAGTCTATGCAGGTGGATGAAAAAGCAATTTTGAAGATAAACAGAAACATGCAGGATTTGCGTGTATGTTCACATTTCAATGTAAACCCTGTTTTTGTTGATGTTAGTTGCCAGTGAATCTGTTTTGACTCCTAACAACTCCATTGGTCTGTGCTTTCGACTATGGAGTAGAACTTCACCATAAAGTAAGAAGGATTTGAAACGCTTGCTGCAGAAGATCAAGGACAGCAGCCTTCAATTTAGATTTCATTTCAACATCAAGAAAACAGTCCTCAGCTCTGGGCCAAATGCAACATCATGACCAATTGAGAAAAGATTGAAATTGTCAGTGATTTCATGTTACTTGAATCCAAAGTCAACACCCTTGGTACCAGCAGTTAGGAGATCAGGAAATGTATAGCATTGAAAACGTTTGCTATTAGGGACCTCTCCAAAGTCCTAAAGAGCAATGTTGTCAGCTTAAAGACTAAGGTGTGCCCGACTGTGGCTACGGTCTTTCCAAACAACTGCTATCTAGCTGAGAGCTGGACAATGAGTAAGAATGACAGGAGAAGAATTGATGTCTTTGAATTGTGGTGTTAGAGAAGAGTACTGAATATGCTGTGAACCATCAAAAGAACAGTGCAACCAGAATCAAGAATGGGGAAACTTCATCTCACATCCTTGGGCATGTGGCTATTCCTTGGAAAGGGACATCATGCTTGGAAAGGCAGAGGGTCAGCAAAAGAGAAGAAGACCCTCAAGAAGACAGTTTGAAATATTGACTGCAGCAATGGGCACAAGTGTAACAAGGATAAAACAAGACTCTGTCTCACTTGCTTTGGACACAGGATGGACTAGTCCCTGACAAAGGACTTTGTGCTTGATAAGGTATCTTGTTGTTTTGTGTTGTTAAGTTGGAACCAATTCATGGCTGACCCTTCAGCTGGTTTTCAGAGGCAGATAATCACCTGGGAGGAGATTTGGATTGGAGTGCAGCTTTTAACCCCAAGGCCACCAGTGATGGATAAAGTATAGGATAAATTAAAAGTAGAAAGACACCCAATGAGATAGATTTACCCAGTGACTAACAATGGGGTTATACATAACAACGATTGGAAGGATGGTGCAAAACCTGGCAGCATTTCCTTCTTTTGTACATATGGTCTCTACGATTCAAAACCAACTGAAATGGCACCTAGCAACAACAAATATATCTAGGAGTCCATGAGTAGTACAAATGATTAATATGTTTATCAGCTAAGTGAAGGCTTGGGAGTTCAAGTCCACCCAGAGGTGCCTTAGGAAAAAAAAGACCTCACAATTTACTTCCCAAAAGTCAGCTATTGAATACCCCATGGAGCCCAGTTGTTTTCCTTTGACATACATAGGGTCACTAAGAGTTGGAAGTCAACTCGATGGTAAATGAAAAGCACAGGATTCTACACGGTTTATGTGAGAAATGTTTGTGAGTGTTTGCCAGCTTCAAGCTGGAGATGAGCCAACATGATGCAATGGCTGGAGAGGTATTCCAGTCTTTGGCTTTAGCAATAGTCACACAGTATAGATTATAGGAGGTGATGTCTGTCTTGCACTTTGCCCTGACTGGGTCACATCATCAGTGTTACTTGTGTTTATTCCAAAGACCAGTCATTTATGCAAACTTGGCATTATGTGAAAAGGAGGAGGAGGATAACACAGAGGCAGCCTGGATTCTGGACCTGCAGAATTGCCCTGCCCTGAGCATTGTCATAGGCTCAAACTCAAGATCTTGCTATTGAGCTGGTGGTGCTCAAGAAGATTTGGACTAGGGCAAAGTTGGTGGTTCTGTGGCTCTGACAAGCAGTGAGACTGGGGATCAGGATGGCTGGTGAGAGATACTGCCCATGTCCATGTCCCTTGCAGCTGCTCCCTCCGCAACCCTAGCCACATGCTGCTGCCTCAAAGGAAGGACTCTGTAGAAACAAATGGCATGCTGAGGGCCTGGGAGAGATAGGAATCTGGGGCCTAACAAGAGGAGCTCCACAGCCCATGTCATGAGGGAGTGGCTTTTGCTGCAGCCCTCAGGCTCTGAAACATCTCCCTTCCCTGTACCTTTTAGCTGCAGGGCTTTGGTCTCTGGGGTGCTTGAGTTGAATGGAGCAACTATAGCAACTTTCCCTGCCCCCATCTCCTCTTGAGCCCTTCCTGCCACTCCTGGGTCCTTCTCAGAAGAGCTCCTTCAAATTTCACCTCAGTCTGCCCCTTTAGGACAGTAGTACTAAGACCTACAACGGAGACTCCAGTGACGAGAATGGGACTAGGAAGAGGTGTGGAGAGCTGGCTGTTTCAGCTGTGAGCCTGACAGACTCAAAGCAACCCTGTGAACAAAAAGCCTGAAGCCTCTCTACAATTATTGACATAATATCAAAGTCCGTAGAGTTTCCGGAGGCATGTTGTTTAGGAAGTGGATGCCACTCCTGCTTCCAAACTATCATAGAATGTTATTGGTTGAATTGCCTCTGATGCATAGTGACCCTATGTACAGCAGCTCTGAACCCTTCCCTGTCCTGAGTCAGTCTCACTAATTCTGACATACCAACCCCCATCACCACAGTTACTGTATCAATCCATCTCATCCAGGGTCTCCCTCTTCCGGACTGTCCTTCCACCCTTCTGAGTATGATGTCCTTCTCCAAGGACCGATCTCTTCTGGACATGTGCCCAAAGTAAGTGAGGCAGAGCTTCAAAATCCTAGCCTCCAAGGAGAGATTTGGTTTTACCCTCTCTAAGACAGACTTATTTATTTTCTTGGCAGTCCATGGTATGTTCAAGACTCTTCTCTAGCACCACAACTCGAAAGCATCTATTCTTTTGTCATCCTTAGTCATTGTCCAACTCTCTGAAGAATAACAAGTAATTGAGAAGACCATCACCTGGATTAGGCACACCTTTGTATCTAGGCTGACATCGTTGCTCTTCAGCACTCTGGAGAGGTCCATGACAACAGATTTTCCCCATGCAATTTGTCTTTTGATTTCCTGACTGCTGGTGTTAGGAGTATTGATTGTGGATCCGAGCAAGCTGTAATTGCTAACAACCTCAATCTCTTCTCTATCTAATATGGCACTGCCAGTTGGCCCTGTGGTGAGAATTTTCGACTTCTTGATGTTGAGCTTCAATCCATATTGAAGAGTACATTTTGGTCTTTTCTTCTTCTTCCTTCTTAGTAATGATTTTTTTGCATTCTTCATGAACGATATTCTTGATATCTTCCCACAGCTTATCTGGGCTTCGTTCACTAGTGTTCAAGGCCTCAAACCTGTTCCCGAGTTGGTTTTTAAATTCATGGAAGATAGACTGAGGTCAAATTTTTATTCTTGTGGGTATGATTTAACCTTCTTTAGCTTTAATTTGAACTTGTATATAAGCAGTTGATGGTCTGTTCCACAATCAGCACCTGGCCTAGTTTTCACTGCTAATATTGAACTTCTCCAATGGTTCCTTCCACAGATGTAAATGTGTATAGCCTGCGTTTATGTTTCTTATAAAAAGCATTTGCTATAAATAAATCATTGATTGTACAGAGTTCTATCCCCAGCCTCATTTCTGTTACCAAGTCCATATTTTCCAACAACTGATCCTTCTTTCTGATTCCCAACTTTTGCATTCCAGTCACCCATTATTATTAAAGCATGTTAGTTACATGTTCAATTGATTTCTGCCTGCAACATTTGATAGAAATCATGTATTTCCTCCTCTTTGCTTTGGTTGTAGATGTATACATTTGAATGATAGTGGTATTTAACAGGTCTTTCTTGTTTGTGTATGGATATTATCCTGTCACTCACAATATTGGATTTCAAGATGGATCTAGAAATGACCTTTTAAACTATGAAAGCAACCCCGTTTTTTCTCACCGTTTCATCTCCACTGTAATAGATCATATGATCTTGGGATTCAAAATGTCCCATGCCAATCCATGTGATTTCACTAATACCCAATATGTCAATATTTACATGTTACATTTCTTTCTCTACAATGTCCAGTTTTCCTACATTCATGCTTCTCACATTTGACGTACCAATTGTTAATTTCTTCTTACAACTCTTTCTTTTTTGTGTGTTTCCAAATTTGAGGGTTCAACTTCAGTTGCCATTTCTACTAGTCTGCTCTAAGTGTGCTCTGCTGTACATAGGGTTTTCAAAGGCCAGTTATATTTCAGAAGTGGATGGCCAATATGTCTTCCCAGCCTGTCTTATTTTGGATGTTTACTGTTAGAAGAATATCTGACAGACAAGTATTTTTTTCCTAGCAGGTGAAAGACACTTCCCTTACAGAAATAACCAATACATTGACTGCCCACTCACCCCAAGCATGTGACTTGTCCTTATCCTTTCCCTGCTACCTCCCCATTCCTTGCACACCTTGCTACCTAGTCAAACCCTCCCACCCCCAGCCACCTCTCAATATGATCACCAGTCACTTCTGTGATGCCTTGCACTACACATTGTTACTGGTTTCTCATGCT